TTGCTTTTTTACGCACATACATAAGTTTTTCATTCGCCTGGAGTCATCTGGCCTTCTTTCCCTGAGAGGCACCTTCTGGTGCCTCTGAGCTTAGGAAACCCTTTCCTGCTCCAGTTTTTGATTGATATTTAGTTCTACTTTCTTCTATGGTTTGTTGGAAAAAATCGTTGTTGTTGTTTTAACTCTTTGCTGCATCTGGAATGTATTGCTGAGAGGAGCGGACCCCACACCCAGCCGGAGAGGGGCCCTGCTTCCCCTCCAGACTGCATTCTTCCCTGCCCCCTCTCCTCCCTTTGGGCCCCCGGAGAGAAAGATGAAAGAGGGGCTGGGGAAAAAGAGGGGCTGGGGAAAGGCGCAGGCTCCCAGCAGCTGTTCCTGCCACGGAGGCCACCGCCGCCCATGGTGGCCATAGCTTCTCACCTGACCTGGCTGTGTGTGTTTATCTGAGAAGGAAACGGAGGTGCCCTCCCTGGTAGCTGGGGTGCCGTGACACTTGCAATGGCCAGAAGCCGAAAGGGAGCTGTCGGGGCTGGAAGCTGAAGCCTTCTTGAGGGACTCAAGCCACTCTTGGGATGGTGGGCTACAAACCTCATAAGATTAAGCTGGGGCAAACGTGCCACTAGGCAGGGCATCCTCGCCTGGGGGCCAGGGCAGGAGGACACCAGGTCCAGCAGGGGCCAGGTGAGGGATAGCACCAGGCCGACCCTCTGGGATGGGTCCCCAGGTCTCTGCTCACGGGCCTCTCTCTGTCTCTTTAGACTCACTGCTCCTAAGATCCCAGAAGGGGAGAAGGTGGACTTCGATGTAAGTTTACAGGACTCTGGTCGACATGGCCACCATTTCCCCAAACTCCAGCTTTTGGGCTCCGGGCTAGGCCTCAGAAGGTCACTTTCTCCCAAGCAGGCAGAGCTGGGGCCACCTGGGTCTGGGTGACTCTACCATAACATAGTCCTGGACCATAGGAAACCCCTCTAAAAATAAACATCTCTCTTCCTTTCTCCTCCATGTATCCTTCTGTCCATCCATCCATCCACCCACATAAGCACCTACCCATTCACCTACCCATCCATACACTCACCCACCCACCCACCCAGCCAGCCATCCAACCAGACACGTATCCACTCACTCATTCATCCATCCATCTACCCACCCAACCACCCATCCATACACTCACCCACCTGTCCACCCACCCACTCACTCACCCACCCATCCGCTCACCCATCCATCTATGCGTACCGCTCATTCATCCACTCACTCATCCACTATCATCCACTCACTCACGCACCCACCCACCCACCCATTCATTCACCCATCTATCCACGCACCCACCCACCCATCCACTCATCCTCTAGCCGTTAATCCACACATCCATCCCTCCATCCCTCTATCCACCTACCCATACGTCCACACATTCCTCCAACCATCCATCCACCCACCCACTCATCTGCCTCCATCCTCTGGCAGTCATCCACCTGTCCATCAGTTTATCCGTTCACACACCCATCTATTTATCCAACAACTTTATCTCGCTCAGCAGTCTTCCCTCTGCCAGGCCCATGCTGGGCATCTCTGAGGATGATGACAGAGCCAAGTCAGAGCCAGTCCATCCCAAGGATGCTGAGGACCTTCTAGCTGGGCACCATCCCTGCTCTGTGGCTCAGGAATCAGGCCACCCCCGGCCCCGATGAGGATAGCATCTTGGCAATGTGGAGAAGGCAAAACTTTCTGTCCCTGCCATGTTCATGGTGGCCAAGGGAATCAGGGCTTCTCTGCTGGAGCAAGAGACAGGGCCTCATTCGGCAAGGCAGGCCAGGCAGGGCAGAGGTTGGAGGGAGGGCAGGGCTGACACCCACTGCACCCGCCTACAGGACATCCAGAAGAAGCGTCAGAACAAAGACCTCATGGAGCTCCAGGCCCTCATCGACAGCCATTTTGAAGCCCGGAAGAAGGAGGAAGAGGAGCTGATCGCTCTCAAAGAGAGAATCGTGAGTAGGCGGTTCAGGCTGCAGCAGGGGCTGGTGGGCACCCTCCGAGGAGCTGGGGGGCAGGGCTGAGCAGACCCCCTTCTCTGGCTGCAGGAGAAGCGCCGTGCGGAGAGAGCAGAGCAGCAGAGGATTCGTGCAGAGAAGGAGAGGGAGCGCCAGAACAGACTGGCAGTAAGGACAGCACCATCCCCACCCCTGCCTCTGCCACTGAGCCCCACGTCCAGAGAAATTCGGGAGGCTGAGGCCTTCCTCCTCCTGGGGTTCCCAGTGTCGCCGGCCGATGATCAGAGCCACTGGCTGAGGCCCTCACACCCTGCAGGACCCCTTGCAAGAGAACACACCTGGGCCAAGACCTGGAGCTTCCTTCCAGACACTTCTAAGCCCGGGGTGGGTCCCTAAAGGCTGCCCAGAAGGCACAGTCCTCCTTCCATCCCTGAACGTCTCGGGGACGGGTCTCTACAGGAGGAAAAGGCCAGAAGGGAGGAGGAGGACGCCAAGAGGAGGGCAGAGGATGACCTGAAGAAGAAGAAGGCCCTGTCTTCCATGGGAGCGAACTACAGCAGCTACCTGGCCAAGGTGCGTGCCTGCCGCTGCTGGGAGCACGCTGGCCGCCTTCAGTGTGGGCTGCACCCTGCGCCCTCCTGAGTCCGGGCCCCTCTCTTTGGGCCTGTTCCCTACAGGCTGACCAGAAGAGAGGCAAGAAGCAGACGGCACGCGAAATGAAGAAGAAGATTCTCGCAGAGAGACGCAAGCCACTCAACATCGACCACCTCGGTGAAGACAAGCTGAGGTAAGGGGCGGGGGTCGCGGGGCTCTGCCCCAGGGGGTGGCTCTGCAGGAGCTGCCAAGGCTGGGCTCCTCGGTGGCTGGAGGAGCACTCCAGGGGCCCGGCGCTGCCTTTGGACTTTTTCACCGAAGGCTTGCCACTTCCTCTGCCCCAGGGACAAGGCCAAGGAGCTCTGGGAGACCCTGTACCAGCTGGAGACCGACAAGTTTGAGTTTGGGGAGAAGCTGAAACGCCAGAAATATGATGTGAGTCCCAGCCCCTCCAGCCCTGGGGCCACGGCGGCTTTCACCTGCCAGCCAGGGCCGCCACCTTCCTGCACCCCTACCAAACTCTGGACCTACCCACCCCAGGGGCCTGGGCCCTACGAGGCCCACACAGGCTGTTGCCACTGACCCCTAGCTGGGGCTGCTCTCTCGCTGGGGACTGTGGCCAGAGCCCATCCTCCTGGCTGGCCACACAGCACCCTGAGCAAGGAACCTTGCCCTTGGATGGCCTTGGTCACCCTGGCCATGAGGATTGTCATGGGAGAGCGGCCATGGCCGAGTGGACTCAGGGTCCACTCTCTGAACCCCTGTAAGCTTATAGAAAGTCCCCATCGTCATTGAGCTCAGCTCCCGGGCACTGAGCCCCCCGGTGTGAGGCGTCCTTTCCAAATAGCTCCTCCTCGAACCCTTCCACCAGGGCCCACGACACCTGCTTCCTCGGGGCAGGCAGAGGGGGCGCCACGCTGCACCCTGAGGCTGGGACAGGGAGCCTGGGACTATGCGCCTCTGGGACAGAACAGGGTGACCTTCCATCGCTGCAGGCTAAGCTGGGGCTCGGGAAGGCAGCCTGCCTAGGCGGCCTCAGGGGCTGGGGTACAACGTGGGAGCCAGGGAAGAAGCCGAGCTTCTTGCCACCCTCCCAAACACACAAGTGGGCTCCAGGGGCGAGGGGCGCAGCCATGAGTGATCCGTGTGCTAGGGGCAAATGCAGACACTCCAGCATCATCATCAAGACCACAACGTCCACCATCCAGCACCGCCAGGGGCCCCGGGGGAGCGCAGCTGTGCTCATGAGGCCTTGCTCACGCAGGTGCAGCGGGGCTGGGCAACCAGTCCACGCCAGCCAGGCAAATCCGAGCTCCTTCTCAGGGGCTCTGGGCACCTGGTCCTCCTGAGCCTCCGCAAGCTCCCCTCCAACAGAGGCAGATGGCTGCACTCCCTCCCACAGCAGTCCCCAGGGGCTCCAGGCATGGAGGACAGGCCTGACCTCAGTCTCCGGACTCTCCCAGAGGGGCTGGCCCTGATATGGCCTTTACCGCACAGGACCCAGGCCTTCCCATGCTGTGTTCCCAGGACTGAGTCAGGGACCCACTGGCTCTGCATAGCTCTGGTCACAGCAGGTCCCCAGGGGCTGCAGAGCCTGGAGGGCCATCACCAGGCCAGCCCAGCCCACAGCAGGGCTTCACTGCCTCGGCCACCCATCCAGCCTTGTAACCATCTTGGTCTTTCTAGATCATGAATGTCCGGGCCAGAGTGCAGATGCTGGCCAAGTTGTAAGTAGCCGGGTCCGTCCTGGGCCAGGCCTGTGGGTGTGCGCTGCACGGTGAGGTGAACCTCTCGCATGGCAAAAACCTGGGTCACTCAGGATGCTGGCGGCAGGGGGCCTGGAGCCTTCCTTCTGCCCAACTCTTCCCTCATGCCTGTAGCCGGGGGCTGCCCAGTGGCCACTGTCCTGATGGCAAGTGAGGAAGGGCCTCACCTTCCCAGGAGCTCCACCTCAAGCCAGGAGCGGCCACAGAGTACCCCGGGGGCAGGCAGGAGGGCGGGAGTGGCTGGCCCAGGAGCCGGAGGTACACTCCGGGCTCTGAGCTCGTTGGCTGAAGGGAGCCGGAGCTGGGAAGGGGGGTCTGCAGGCCTCACCTGCCCCGCCCGCCCCATCCATGCTCCGTGCCCCCTGCCCCGCAGCCTGCCGCAGGCTGAAGGTAAGTGGCCAGCTCCGGGCTGCTGTGTGTGGCAGCCCAGGCCAGTACAGGCCGGCGAGAATAAGTCCAGGCACGAGCCCAAGGGCCCACGGACGGTGTCCCCCAGCGCAAGGAGCCAGGAGACAGTAAGGGAGCCGAGTAGCCCTCGTGGGACCCAGCAGCTCTGGGTCTCGCAGCCCAGCCCGCACTGCAGCGGAGACGGGCCTTCCCCCAGGCCTGGCCCTTGGGTCGTCACAGTGAGTCACTCGTGTTGTCCACAGATCACCACGCTCAGGAGCCGCATCGACCAGGCCCAGAAGCAGTGAGTAGCCCTGCTGTCCTCGCTCCGCACCGGGCACAGGGGCCCGCGGAGCCGGCACCGTAGCCAGTCCCTAACAAGGGCTGGTGGTGGCTGGTGGTGGCTGGCCTCGGCAGGGCCATTGTGAGACTAACCCGTCCAGGCCACTGGGGCCAGCATGTGCAGGCCTGTGGTCAGGGACCCAGAGCCTCCTGACCCGCTGCATGCAGAGGAGCCCTGGGGGATGGCAGAGTCAGGAGGAGGGAGCCCAGTGGGGCTCACCCATCACGCCCTCATCCCACGTCTGTCATTGGCTGCAGGGAGAGGGCAGCCATGGGACCCCTAGACGGGGCCGCTCTAGGAGTCCTTTTTTGCGGCCAACCTGGGCCCCAGGGTGTCCACCAGTGTTCCACCCTCTAAGGGGACCTAGGGCAGGGAATTAAGCAGCCAGGGCTTCGTCCCAGGCCCTCTGTGATGCCAGGCAAAAACACGGACTCCTACAGTCAGTTCCATCGACACTTGGAATGTCGATGTGCTCTAGGATTCTTCCCCTCCTCCCATGGCCCCAGCTTCCCCCAGGCCCCCAGGGCCAGCTCCTCCATGCTGCAGGCGACCTCACAGCTTCCCTGTTGTGTGGTCAGGGTCGGACGGGCGTTGTTGAGATGTGCCTGTGCCTGCGTGTGTGCACATGTGTGTGCGTTGAGGGTGCTCAGGAGCATGGGTGAGGGCACGGCCTTCAGCCAGAATCTGATAGGGGCCAGCCTTGGGGGCACGGGCACTCCTGTCCTCCGCCTGCCTCAGTCCCTTACCTGCACCCAACCCCTCCTGGCTCTCAGCCACGTGAAGGCCTCGGACAGACGGGGCAGGCTCCTGGGACCGCCGCCCGTCCAAGGCCTCTGTCTGGAGGGGCAGGAGCTCTTTGGAGGCCAAGTGCCTGGGAGGGTTATCATTATCTGCCAAGACAGCCTTCCCCAGCTCGGGAGTCTGTGTGCAGTGGCACCTCGGGCAAGGAAGGGAGGACAGAGGGAGGGTGCCCCGGGCTCACATGGCCGGCCCCCTACCACACTAACAACCCAGGCCCGCCAGGCACAGGTGAGTGAGTGCTGCCTGAACTGAAGCTGGGTGTACACCACGAGCTTGCGCCGGGCCTGCGCCCTGAGAACAGCCTGGGGTCGGGCTGAGAGTCTGCCCAGAGTGGGGGACCGGAGGGGCATGGCCAGAGCCCCTGACACTCAAGGGCCACTGCTTCCCATTTGCAGCAGCAAGAAGGCTGGGTCCCCAGCCAAGGGCAAAGTCGGCGGGCGCTGGAAATAGAGAGGCCAGAAAGGCCCCTCGAGGCAGAGACCCTCCGCCCTCGCGCACATGGGAGTCGCTCGTGGGACTCGGCATCCTCCAACCCCCACCATCGCAGCAGGGGTTCCCTGACCATCCTGGGGCTGGAGAGGCCACCCCAGAGCCCCACCTGAATCTCTGTCCTTGCTGCCTCCATCCCCCGGGGCCTGTGAATAAAGCTGCAGACCCCCCTCCACCGCGTGCACTCGCTTCTGCATGGGGGCCCCGGGGGATACGGGGGAGGTGAGGGGGCTGCCCAAGGGCAGAGCGTCCCGGCCACCTGCGGGGCCGGCTCAGGAGGGGACTGGCCAGCACATGCCACATGCTGCTACGGCCAGGGTGGTGCCAGGATGCCCATACGCTGCCCATTTTCCCTCTAAAATGCGGGCTCCATCCCCACGTGAGCCTTTAGGACCCCTCCGCTCTCCGCTTCTATGGGGTCTGCCCAGGAGGGGTCTGCAGGCCTCACCTCCAGCCCCAGACCCCATCTGCGCCAGCTCTGAATCCACTGGTGGCAGAGAAACTTTGTCTCAGGAGGGGGTGAGGGAGGAGGGCAGGGCTCTGAGCAAGACTTTGCCACCCCTCAGAAAGGCAGAGGCAGGCGGTGAGGGGCTCAGGCGTGAGGGGCGCACCCCGACCCTGGTCTGGGCGAGAGCAATGCAGCTCACTCACTTCCAGCAGCCAGCAGGCAGGGCAGACGCAGGCAGCCCCCCAGCACACAGGACAGCAGAGTGCACATGGGTCATAAATCTCAAAATCCTGACCAGAGAGAATTCTGGAAAATATAAATCACAGAAATTGGATCAAGACGCAGAGACTTGTACAGCAAAGTATTCACAGAGGAAGGTTTGGAGTCCAAAACGGTCTCCTCAGGAAGACTCAGGGGCGGGCAGCCACATCTGCGAGCTCTGCTGCCAGGGACGGGGAGTGGGGGATGGTGCGGGGTGGGGAGCGCAGCCCCTCAGTCTGCAGTGGGGATGGTGGCAAGGCCAGGACCCAAAGGACAAAACAGAACCTCCAGATAGCATCACACACGTGTGCAGACCCCGTGACACACATGTAACACACACACATAACATCACCCCCAGATGTGTGACCCCACAACACACGCACACACACAACACGTCATCTCAGGTATGTTATCCCAAAACACACACACACAGAGACACATCAACCCAGGTGTGTGACCCCACAACACACACAGCTACACACACACAGAGAGACACACACACACCCCTCCAGGTGTGTGACCCCACAACACACACACACACACACACACACACAGAGAGACACACACACACCCCTCCAGGTGTGTGACCCCACAACACACACACACACACACACACACAGAGAGACACACACACACACAGACACACACAATCATCCCCAGGTGTGTGACCCACCTCACACACACACACACACATCATCCCCAGGTGTGTGACCCCACCACAC